GGTATGCAGTGTCTGACTTCTTTACTCTCACCCGCTTCTGTCACTCCTACGACTGCTTATGCAGCTGCAGTTATTTCTTTAATCATCTTCTTCAGCACTGTTCCGTAGTTTCTTGGCTACGCCAAATAACTGGAAAACGCTTTGAGCTATTTTAACCGTGAAAGGATGGCAATGGATCAACGGGTTTACGTAGTCGGCTTTTTGCCATTCAGCCATGCAGCGGTTTGTCCATGCATTCCATGGCCGAATGTTTCAATAAATCGCGTCAAATTGCAAAATGCTTTCGCCGTGTGAATGCGTTTATCACCCTAGTGCTGTGTTGTAGGGCTGTCGCATGTTACAGCAGGTGGCACCCCGCCCGATCTGACTAGACATATCCACAAGACGACCACCGGTGGCGAGCGGCCCACCGCGAACCGCGCGCCTCCAAGCGGAGACCCTCACACGACGAACCGAGGGACATCTAGTGGCGGCATGCCTACCACTGGTCGTCCGGCGTCTGGTGGAAACCCCCAAACCACGAGTCGTCTGCCATCTCGCGGCGAGCCAAGTGCTAATAGCCGACTGACATCGAGTGGCGGCCCGCATATCGCGGGCCGAACGACATCTAGCGGTGTTACACACGTCACGAGTCACCTGACATCTGGCGGCGGCCCGACCATTACGAGTCGAGTGACATCTGGCGGAGGCGTTCACAAGTCAAGTCGCGATCCGTCCAGTAGCAAGCACCGTCTGTCGACCTCAGAGCGGACCAGCAACCGACTACTGAGCTCGGCGGAGGCAGTGACAGGTGAGACCACTTAGATGCACGGAACCGCTCGAATTGAACGTCACACAGACTCGAAACCTTGTGTCGCTTCTGTGGGAGCGACACAAGCTTTCGCCAGCACAGAAGCTAGCTAGCTAGCTAACTTCCACGACGTTTAGCAGATAGTTGCCGTTAACGTGTGACACATAAATCATACAAAGTCGCTCGAAATTGTATTTTTTCTGTCGTTACTAGTGCTCGGCCATAAACCGTTTTATGCTGTTATGAGTCAACGTTTGCGCTATTGAAAAAATGAAATTTTGAGCGCTTGGCATGTGGTTATCAGCAGAGTTCCACGCAGTTTTTGACGGCGGAAGATTGAACCTCTCCGAAACATCGCGGCTTTGTCCGTTTTCAGCTATTGTTAAGGATTTCTTGCGAATTCAGGCGCTAAGCACAGTGGATTACAGGCAGACCAAACGTGGGCGTAAGGCAGGTGCAAAGCTATATCTATCATGTGGTAACCGCCGTGAATATTTTATGTTAACCTGCACCGCAGATTGGGAGTTTAGGACCGGACGGACGACGAAGGGGGTTCAAAGTCACAAGCTTATCGTGCAACATCACCCTGCAGGCTCGATGTCAACCAACGTCATCAGATCTGCTGCCACTACGACTATGGTGTGAGTAGGCCGGCTTCATCACACCACACTTCTCATGTAGCACTTGCGGTTAGATTTCACCGGCTGGAATGTGCACGCTGCGCATTAAAATTTGCAGCGTTATGCTTACTACAGATGCTTCCACGTGACTTGTGATTTCTCAACCAGTTTGGACGTAATAGACCGTCGCTGCCATTGCAGCTGCTTTCGCTGGCTGATATCTAATCGCTGAGATCTGACAAGCAGAGTTCAGGGAATGCTGCCTAGTGTCTGGCTGTCTTTTCAGTCAGTTTAGCTCAGCGTCAGTTCAGCGTCTTTCCGCAAATATTTTTCTGCATACCATAACGCCAGCTCGATGAGATTCGATCCCTTGCACCTTGAGACATTTTATAGGATCAAAGCTCGGCAATTTAAGTAATGTCTTGTGTCTAATGCCTCCGTTTTAACAGGGCTCAGCGTCTGGTATGAGTGTTGACACCACGAGCTGACTTTCAAAACAGCACTGCGACAAGAAGCTGGCCTCACGAGAGACGACAGCCGTCCCAAGACAGAAGGCAACACCGGTGGCGGCACCCACGGATGCTGGGTCAGCCGTCGCCACAGGGAGGGGTGTCAGTGTCGCCCTCTATCGCAGCAAACTGGCATTACCCCGATCAGTTTTCGCAGCCGGGGCCAACTCGCTGACTAACAATCTCCGTAGGCCATCTTTGGGCGGGCATGCGCAAGTGTGCTGCCTCTGTGATAGTAGATCTGACATTGTGTAATACATGCTTCATGCTCACACTAGGTGTGTCGTCTTTGCCACCGAACCGAACCTGCTCCGAGATTGCTGTGGAACCGTACACAAAGAGGAGCACAAGAGGAGCACAGTTTGGAGTCCGTCCGTTCACGGCCACCTGAGCAGTGCCACTGGACGTTGAGAAACCGAGCCTCCAGGGGACAAATCGTTTCGAATAATAAATTCTGCCACAACGTAGCAAAATACTCATGACGTTCAGCAGTATGCTCACGCTTGGATTCAGTTGGAGTCGGAACCAACTGTCGAACCAAATGCAGTTTCGTTGAGACATGGTGGAGTCGATTTCGTTGAGCTTGAGCTCTAATTCGACCACATCATCGGCAAACTAATTCAAACAAAAATGGTAAGTAGCAGGGTAAAATACACGCGTGACAGCCAAGGGCGAAAACGCCGGGAAGGGGAGCGTCCCCTGTATCGTCGGATGGGAGGGAACAATTCAAATCCTACCAGATGAAGTTCCTCACATTGGTATTTCTCGCATTTGAACTATCCATGGTGAACTCGTTGGTATTTAAGTTGATCGTCACAACATTAAAAACCAGGGTGTAAATCAAAATGTACGGTCACACACACACACACACACGCACATGCACACGCACACGCACACGCACGCACACACACACACACACACACACACACACACACACACACACACACACACACACACACACACACACACACACACACACACACACACACACATATATATATATATATATATATATATATATATATATATATATATATATATATACATATATGTATACTCATTAGATATACTGATTATGGGAACACTGCAAAGGCACATTGAGAACACCATTGCAGAACACGGCAGGTCATTGACACGACAACAACTGCCAGACAACACTAACATTTTACCGACGTGCAATGACAGAAGACGCCTTCAAATTTGGGAAAATATGTTCATTAACAAACTCTCTCCAGCCCTGAACAGACAAACAAATTCTGGTACAACTCTTGAACTATTAGGTGGTTGGTGGTAGAACACCATATATATAGAGAGAGAGAGAGAGAGAGAGAGAGAGAGAGAGAGAGGAGAGAGAGAGAGAGAGAGAGAGAGAGAGAGAGAGAGAGAGAGAGAGAGAGAGAGAGAGAGAGAGAGAGGAGAAGAGAGAGAGAGAGAAGAGAGAGAGAGAGAGAGAGAGAGAGAGAGAG